GTGATAAAAAGCCTTCTGTTTCGACCGCCAAACCTCTCAGGGAGCATTTGCAACCGTTTGGCACCATTTTTGAGTGAATTGCAGAACGTCAGATTTCTGATGAAATTGTGACCCGGGGCTTAGGGATTTTTTCAAAAAATCTTTTTCTGCCGGTTAAGTTGTCGAGGGCTGATTTCCTTTCCTGTGATAAAAAGCCTTCTGTTTCGACCGCCAAACCTCTCAGGGGAGCATTTGCAACCGTTTGGCACCATTTTTGAGCGAATTAGAGAACGTGAGATTTTTGATGAAATTGTGACCCCGGGGCTTATGGATATTTCAAAAAAATCTTTTTCTGCCGGTTAAGTTGTCGAGGGCTGATTTCTTGTCCTGTGATAAAATCCGTCTTTTTAGACAGCCAAAACGTTCATGGGAGCATTTGCAACCGTTTGGCACCATTTTTGAGTGAATTGCTGAAAGTCAGATTTTTGATGAAATTGTGACCCGGGGCTTAGGGATTTTTCAAAAAATCTTTTTCTGCCGGTTAAGTTGTCGAGGGCTGATTTCTTTTCCTGTGATAAAAGCCTTCTGTTTCGACCGCCAAACCTCTCAGGGGAGCATTTGCAACCGTTTGGCACCATTTTTGAGTGAATTGCAGAAAGTCAGATTTTTGATGAAATTGTGACCCCGGGCGTTGGGATTTTTCAAAAATTCTTTTTCTGCCGGTTAAGTTGTCGAGGGCTGATTTCTTCTATTGTGATAAATAGCCTTCTGTTTCGACCGCCAAACCTCTCAGGGGAGCATTTGCAACAGTTTGGCACCATTTTTGTGTGAATTGCCGAAAGTCAGATTTTTGATGAAATTTTGACCCTGGGCTTAGGGATTTTTTCAAAAAATCTTTTCTGCCGGTTAAGTTGTCGAGGGCTGATTTCTTTTCCTGTGATAAAAAGCCTTCTGTTTCGACCGCCAAACCTCTCAGGGGAGCATTTGCAACCGTTTGGCACCATTTTTGAGTGAATTGCCGAAAGTCAGATTTTTGATGAAATTGTGACCCCGGGGCTTAGGGATTTTTTCAAAAAAATCTTTTTCTGCCGGTGAAGGTGTTGAGGGCTGATTTCTTTTCCTGTGATAAATAGCCTTCTGTTTCGACCGCCAAACCTCTCAGGGGAGCATTTGCAACCGTTTGGCACCATTTTTGAGTGAATTGCCGAAAGTCAGATTTTTGATGAAATTGTGACCCGGGGCTTAGGGATTTTTTCAAAAAAATCTTTTTCTGCCGGTTAAGTTGTCGAGGGCTGATTTCTTTTCCTGTGATAAAAGCCTTCTGTTTCGACCGCCAAACCTCTCAGGGGAGCATTTGCAACCGTTTCGCACCATATTTGAGTGAATTGCCGAAAGTCAGATTTTTGATGAAATTGTGACCCGGGGCTTAGGGATTTTTTCAAAAAATCTTTTTCTGCCGGTTAAGTTGTCGAGGGCTGATTTCTTTTCCTGTGATAAAAGCCTTCTGTTTCGACCGCCAAACCTCTCAGGGGAGCATTTGCAACCGTTTGGCACCATTTTTGAGTGAATTGCCGAAAGTCAGATTTTTGATGAAATTGTGACCCGGGGCTTAGGGATTTTTCAAAAAATCTTTTTCTGCCGGTTAAGTTGTCGAGGGCTGATTTCTTTTCCTGTGATAAAAAGCCTTCTGTTTCGACCGCCAAACCTCTCAGGGGAGCATTTGCAACCGTTTGGCACAATTTTTGAGTGAATTGCCGAAAGTCAGATTTTTGATGAAATTGTGACCCGGGGGTTAGGGATTTTTTCAAAAAAATCTTTTTCTGCCGGTTCAGTTGTCGAGGGCTAATTTCTTTTCTTGTGATAAAAAGCCTTCTGTTTCGACCGTCAAACCTCTCAGGGGAGCATTTGCAACCGTTTGGC